CTCCGGTGAGGCGTGTCTGGGCGTGAGGCAGTTCTTTGTTTTGTGTGTTTGTGGGGAGTTTCCTTCTGGTATTTGCATCACGTGTGGATTTATTTATTTATATATTTGTTTATGCATTTATCTGTTTGTTTTAACCTGGATATTTCTCGACTGAGGAGCTCTCGTATCCCCTTTCCTAAGCGGTGCGCTGGAATAGAGGTAGGGTGGAAGACTTTCCAAACCACGTAATTTTCAGCGAAGATAGGAAATTTTGTCAGGGCAGCAGAAGAGATGCTCCATCGCAGGCTTGTCCAAAGGCTCCTGAAGGAGGGAGTGAAGAAGGTGAACGCTTCTGCAGGCAGCGGTGTGACTGCTCCGTGGAGATGCTTGAGATTGCTCGTGAAGCCCTTAAGCATCGTGCAGGAGTGCAATCGAGAGATTGTTTCGATCGTTTGGGACTCTCAGGGGTAGTGGATCAGTACTGGAAAACCTTGATGTAGTAGACAGCAGTTTCCACCTACTGTTGTCTTAAGGCAATTTTCTCTTTTTTTATGACCTAGAGCAAGAATGCAAATTTCTGCTTGTGTACCAGATGCTGACGAAGGTGTAGCTCAGTCACATGGGTGGTCCATCTTCTGTCATGTGTTGAGATCCGAGTGTACTTGTATGAAGTTCTGAACTTGATCATGTTTTCCCCTGGTACATGGGGATTTTATTTTCTATTGTAGTTCTGCCCAGTGCATCAGCTGTGAGACCAGTCCTCCTTCTTATCCTGTTGTCCCAGTCACATAGTCCAAAGACTTAAAAACTTCAAGGAATGTAGTGGGTAGGAAGAAGACACTTATCATGGGGACATTTAGTGATTTCTTAGTATATGAGAAGTTTGCACAGACTGTAATTCTTTAGTTCTGTAAGTGTTCTTAAATCATAGGATTTATATGGAAAAGGTTTCCAATTTTTTTTTTTCAGAATTAGCAGTATGTATCTGCTTTTTTAATGAAAACTTCCATTCATGTAGTGAGTACATAGATTTTTCTGAGTCTAATTAACAGTTAAAGACTTAAATTCTTTTTATACCTGCTTTATATGCCTCCAGGTGAAGCAGTCGGAGAAGTACTGTAGTCACATTAATTACAATAATGCTCAGCTGAATGATTTTATTAAACATAATAATGGCATGTGGCACGTTAACAATATTTCAAGAATACTATTAATGGTCACAATAGCATGTGAACTATTACAACTTAACTATTAATATGCTTTTTTTTTTCAACTCTGTTGAGGAGGAATACTACATTTTCCCACTGTTTTCTTGATGCTGCTGTACTGTCGAGCCAAACTAGACTAGTGAGTCATAAACGGTATCATTAAATTCCTATAACAGTAGTATGAAAGTCTCTATCAAGACATAAAGTAAAAAATCCAGCTGAATTTTTTAGCTTTCTGCAGTTTGTAATATGAGCTTGCCTGAAGATTCACTGTGTTTTTCACCAATGCAGCTGCTCTGACGCTTATTCTGACTTTAAAACTAAAATTCATGAGCTATTTTAAAAATTTTTTTCCTTGTACTTGTAAGTTCTGTTCTGGATCCAGCTTGACTTTTTTTTCCTCTCTCTATTTTTCACACTGAAGAAATATGGATGTCAAGAGTAGAAATTATTTGCTTATGAATCGCCAAGCATTGGAAAGAGACATCAAGACCTCTTATATTATGGATCGTATGATTTCTGACGAAGTACTGACGTTACAGGAGGAGGAGAGAGTGAAACAGCAGGTAGAAATCGTCCCTCACCGTTATTTATCTTCCTAGTCTACTCACATGTTTTATCCTCCTTTTTAGAAACAGTTGTTTCTGTCTATCTCATTCCTGGATTCAGCAAATTCTTAAGCGTACGCCTGGCATGCAGTTTTTATTGCACTTGATAAGGTTGACTTAAGGGCTTGGTCAAGCTGAAGGCTATTTCTGTAACTGTAAACAGTCTATAATTGCCAGAGTGATAGATTAAATGATTTCTAATGTTTCTTAGTTTTGTATAACATCTCTTTTAATTTTTTTTCTAGAATACACAGAAGGAGCGAGCAGCTATGCTAATAAACATTATTCTCACAAAAGATAATAATTCATATAGATCCTTTTATAATGCTCTGCTTCATGAGGGGTACAGAGATCTTGCTGCGCTTCTTCAGGATGGTATCCCTGCCGTCTCCTCTGGTAACAGGAAGAGTTCAATGGATGGAATGACTTCACACGGTCAGTGTAACTACAGCTATCTCTATGCTTTAAAGGAAAGACAAGTTCCTTTTTTTATTCCTTACGAACGGACTGTGTTTTTTTATTCCTTACGAACTGTAGTGCCTATTCTGATGAAAAAGTAGTTGGTGCATTCACTTGTTTTGATAGTGTAGCCATCAGAATTTCTGTATTTCATATATTTAATGGAGCAGGGGAGTTACAACAGTTACAATTTTTCTAGACCATCTTGAAAATGTTCATAGTAAGTGATGTTTATTTGAAAAGATGGGAAAGCTGAAGCTCTCGCAGTTTTTTTTCTAAATTGCAACATTTTTGTTGTACGTGAAAGACAGACCATTATTTGTATATATTAAAGAAGTTGAATCTAACATAAAAAGTTAAAGCTCTGACAAGTAATTTGTAATTCTTCAGCCTACATTCCAGTAGCTGATCTGGTTATTAGGTAGTTTAGTTCTCTCCACCAGATCTTTTAATTACTCTGCATAAGTTTGTAACTTTTACCTACATTGTCGTTAAGTATCATCTTTGATTGAGATGAAATAAATTGGTCGCTTCTAATGGAAAGACAGTATAGATACTCTAACTGTATATGGCAAACTGCTGTATTTACTGGCACTCTGCGTTTTAAGAGTTGTCGCAGGCATGTGGAATTTTGATTACCCAAGTAAGATCTCCCAAAGCTTATCTGTATAGTATGGCCCTGCGTGTGGCCACCTTGTGGCAGCAGACGGATAAAGTGCACTTTTCCTTCCCTGCTGTGTTTTACCTGCTTTGTTGCAAGTTGTGCTGTCTTAGCTTAAATGAATGAAAGTCTTGCTTGCACTGCAGTGCTGTACTGTTAACTATGCAGCAAGAGCTCTGCAGAGCGTACTTTCTCTTCTGCTGCATCCGTGAGGCGGATTCTTCTGGCTGAGAAAGCGACGTGGTGGTTGGATATAGCAATGTTGAGCTCCTGTGTGGCAGTTTTTACTGGAGCTGTTAATTGTGTTTTCACTTCTAGGTATTGATGTATTTAGCTTGCCTGATATGTAGGTATTAATTGGAGTTGTTTTAATTGGAATTTCCACTGTTGTGGGAGGGAGGCTAGTTACTCGTTAGATAATTTATTTCTAGATCGTAATATTTTTTCAGTATTTTGTGTTGTGAGTCCAGTAGTTTTTAGAGCATTACTGTGAGGGTGATGGAGCAGTGGAACAGGCTGCCCAGAGAGGTTGTGGAGTCTCCTCTGGAGACATTCAGAACCCACCAGGATGTGTTCCTGTGTGGCTGCCCTAGGGGATCCTGCTCTGGCAGGGGGGTTGGACTAGATGATCTCTAGAGATCCCTTCCAGCCCCTGACATTCTGTGATTTGTATGGGACATGAGAGACTGGGGGTGGGCGGATGCTCATTATTTGGGGTGGGGAGTTTATGGTCTGGTTTGAAGAAGCATTGCATTTAGAAATAACATTTTATTTTCATGTTTCTATCATCAGTTAAGACAATCCTTTGTGAAGGAGGCGTACCACAGAGACCAGTTGTGTTTGTCACTCGGCCAAAACTGGTAGATGCTATTAAGCAGAAACTGTACTGCTTGGGAAGTGATCCGGGCTGGGTCACAGTGTATGGAATGGCAGGCTGTGGGAAGACTGTTCTAACAGCAGAAGCTTTAAGGGATCATAAGCTCTTGGAAGGTACTTTTAGAAAAACATAGATATTTTTATTGTAATTACTACAAGTATATGTTTATTGGACATATATTGTGAAATGTCTTATATAATCTTGAAAGTAATTTAGGATTTAGGTTTCTAAATTCTTTAGGCACTTCTGAAATATTTGTTTGCAACTTACAACTTTTGCAACCACTCAGTGCTCTACAATCACTAGGTATTTTATTAATTCATGGGAAAAGATTCTAAATAGCTTCTCATCTTGGCATCTGTTTTGGTTTATGAGAGTGGATGCATCCCTGTTTGACTTGAAATTCTTATTTCTGTTAGTGCAAATAATCATATGTAGTTTATATTTCTTTTGGGCATTGCTTGTTAAGTTCTCAAACTCTTTTTGCTATGTGAGTTTAAAAAATCTAGCTCTCACTTTTGCATATATTTTAATAATGGCAGGCATTTTTGGAGTGTTTGCACTAGTATCACGTTAGGTTAAATGAGTAATAATAAATCACTTAATAACTATTGTTGTTTTTTTCTCTGCATAGGACACTTGTAGGAGAAAACGGGATTCAGGCACTAGAAGATATGATGTAGGGATAGAGACTACAGGATCCTCTGCTGACTATTCTAGATGCCTTCTTGTTCACTGCTTTGCGATAATTTTGACATCCCAATCTCTGAACTCCTGCAATGGTACAGGGTTAAAAAAAGAAATGCTAAGTCAAACCAGCAGGAAGATGGATGCAGAAGGGATTGTTGAGGGACAGAAGGGAAAGCATGCAGCGAGGAGAGATGACAGCATCAGTGCCCTTTGCGAACTTGCCCTACAGTGCTAGTTCTTTAAAAATAAAAATTAGTGGTCTTGCAGAACTATTCTGCGTTAATGGTAGAGTTGCAAGGTTAGCTTGCAATAGGCTTTATGTTTTAATTGAAATTGAGTTATTGATTGCTGTTGTAAGCTGCTGTTAAATATTTCTGATTTTAATATGGTTTTCCCTGTTAGTTTACTTTCCAGGAGGAGTTCACTGGATCTCTGTTGGAAAACAGGACAAAGCAGGGCTCCTAATAAAACTTCAGAATCTCTGTAGCAGATTAGAACATGACACTACTCTTTCACAAAGGCCACCACTTAACATTGAGGAGGCTAAAGATCGTCTTCGTTTGCTGATGCTACGCAAATATCCCAGGTGATGTCAGTAAAATGAAACACTATTCTTTCAGCTGATAAAACTTGTCAGAGTTAGACACCTTAGACTCTAATCATCTATGTTGTGGCTACATGTCTCTGGTGTGTATTTTCTTTAAAAATCAACTTTGTAATTCTTCCACTGTCTGTTTTACTGTAGGTAATTAGCAAGTGTTATTTAGGTGAAGCTAGCAATACTTCTAGAATTTTAATTCTTGTGTAGGAGTTCCTAGAAATTTTCAGAATTATGCACATACATATGATAGAGGAATAAGTAAGTCAAGATAAATAGATAAAAGCTGAAAGGTAACTAGGTGCTAGAGTCAGATGTGTAGTATAGATAATATAACTCTGTCTCTGTTTATGTGTTTGTTTGAGTTTTTTTAATGGACTAATGTAGGGGACACATTGCAGACTTGTCCTGGGTATTAATATATTTAGTAGGTTAATAAGGTTTCCGCTAACAAAATATGTTAATCAGCTGTGCAGGAGTCACATTTGCTTGAAAAATTATTAGTAGTTGGATAATGAAAATTGGGAACAAACAATTGGAAATAAGTATTGTTCTAACTTTCAGAGTTCTCATTGTGTACATAGAATGCTTCACTGATATGTGAGGATTGTACAGTGGTAAAACGGTGCAGAAATTTTTTTCTTTCCCTTACAGCTGGT